CGCGGCGCTGGGGCGCGGACCTCTCGGCGCAGCTGCGCCCCGACTCCAGCGCGGACCCGGCCTGCGCGCCGGGTGACGGGTGGGGCGGCTGGTGAACTTGAGGAGAGGTAGGGAAACAAATCTTACTGCCTTCTTCCAAGTCCTAAAAGCGTCCCCCGCGGTCTGCCCGCTTCCTGGCAGCCTCGCCCCGCTGGCTTCCAAGGAGGACTTTGCCAAGCACTGCAGCGGTGTTGGATACCTCGTTGCAGTCCGAGCCCAAGCGAGTGAGCGAGCCGCGCCGCGCGGGGTGGTGAACGGGCACCTTCTCAGCACCCTCTACCCCGTATTTCTTTTTCTACTGCTCAGAGGCTGTGCTGGCACACAGATGCCGCGCGGTCCTGTCGGAAACAGACGTGATCGAGCTGTCAGCCAAAATCTGCAGCCTTTAGTACCCGGACAGTGTGCTCCGAATTTCCCACGGCGTGAACGTGCACCGCAGCGGTACAGGCCCGAGGTGCTCCCCACCCCCGAAGTCTTCCCTGCGCTGGAAGCCTTTGGGGGAGCTCGCCTCGAGGTGACCCCACTGCAGAGCGCAGGCGGCTCCCAGAAATGCACCACTAATTGAGTCACAAGCCACTGGCCATCCCTAACAAAGCGATCCATCCCGGCAGCTCAGCGCCCAATTTGTTCGCAGCACTTTCTTCCGCAATTCAGAAGCATTATCTTGTTTTTAAAAAGTAACGCGGCAGAGACGTGGCAATTATCCCGGGCTCGGGTTACACTAAATGGCTTTAGGCTGAGAAATGGAAGAATTCAGATGCCAGAACGTGCTGATCGCCTCGCCGCCCAGCCTGGGCCCGGGTAGACGAGGCGAGGGAGGATCTTTCGGATGGAGAGAGGAAGAGCTACGGCCAGCGAGAAAGAAGGGTTGGCCTTTGGTCCCTAGGGCAGGCAGTGTCTGAGCGACCGACCCTCAGAACTCGAGGGAGAAAGGATCGCATCCTGACAGGCCCGGGCCAAGCTTATGGTCTCAGCTTCAGGCTGAGACATGGGGTCAGAACAGGTTGGAGTTTCAGACACTGAAGGGGTGAGGAGCAGAATAAAAGCCCAAGGGTCAGATCGGGAGTGGTAGAAAATCCGGTCTCAGCTGGCAGCTACAGTACAACTTGGGAGGAGGAAAATCTGAAGAGAAAACAACCAGAAGAAAAGAAGAGTTGGCTGGGAGGAACAGAGCGAGATGCCTGCCTGGCCCGGGGAAGCTGGGTGGACGCGGGGAGGCGAGAACGGGCGAGGACCGGACAGGCCCAGAGACCGCTAGGCCCCTCTTGCATCAGGAGGGGCAAAATGCTCTAAGAGTCTTCATTTCCGTCCGCCAGGGTGAGTTTGGGCCTGCAAAATGGGAGAAAAAGGAAAGAGAGATTAGCAAGAGACATGCTCTTGCCGAGAACCCGCATGCAGACGCCTACTGGTCCCAGCCGCCCAGCCGGCCACGGCAGCCACACTGTGCGCGCGTCTTTCCCCGACTGCTCGCACCAGCCCCCACATCTTGAAGTAATCAGCAGCCGAGAAGGGACTCGTCCCCCTGGCATCTCAGGTTAAAGAAAGAGGTCCAGGAAAATGTGGTAGAGCCATTACAAGAAACCCGAGCCGCAGTCATCAGGGACTCCAATTGCCATCGCATTAGGATTGATTAGAGACCAGCAGTACCGTAATGACCCGGAAAGAGGGGCAGCCGGGGATTATTAATATCAGAATGGGAGGAGGGGACCCGCTGGGGAGGCAGAAGTTTTAAGTTACTAGGATTTATATATAAGTGCAGGCTTACCTGAGGAAACCGGAGAGTCAGCGAATCACGCACACAATAAATCTAAATGCATCTAAAATTTCACGAAGTCTATTTCTTTTTGGAGGGAATAAAACCTTCCTAAAAGTGGGGCAAGTCTTAGATTTTTTTAAATCAACATGTAGATTTATAAATTTATTGTGAGGATCCAAGTGAGGAGACGAGGAGGCACACTGGATGTCTGCTTTCCTTACAAGTGGAACTGTAAAAAAAAAAAGACGTTGGAGTCCAGCTACCCTGAGTTTTCTCTCAGAAGGGTGTTGAGGTTGTCTCAGGAAAGCTAGGTATGAGCCAGGGAAATTACGTTTTTGGAGTCCGAAAGGCGTAACAAACCAAGTTTCAATTGAAGCAGCTAGACCTGGTTGGGGTTTTTGTTTTTGTTTTGTTCAAGATATGAATGATTGGGATCCCAAGGAGATGTGGAGAAGAGAGCGGCCTGTCTCCTTCCTCGGACTGTGAGCCAAAACAAATCAGCCCCGATGGTCCGGGCTGAAACGCAGCTCACTGGATAATTCACTCCATGTTTCCAGCCCACCCTAACTGTTTATTTAGTGTCACCCTGCATTACCATCACTAGTACTTTCCTCTGAACAGGAGGAGCTGCAGGCTTTCACCTCCTAAAAGGAAATTCTTCTTAGCTTAGACAGATGTGGCTTTCAGATGTACATTAGTTAAGAAAAAAGAGGATTGCAAATTCAGTGGAAGATAAGCTCTCTTGGAGAGTTTTCAGTTTGTAAACCTGCCCTAGGGCGATATTTAAAGAGAAAAGGGCTAGTGTGTCTTCAGCTCCTCTGAACTGATTCTTGGGACACCGTAGTCCCCCTTTCCAGAAGCACGCCTGCCCTCTGAGGTGGATGGGGTCCTCAGGCTCAAAGCTGGCAGTTGGTGGGTCCCTGGGCTGAGCCTTCTCAGGGCACAGGTGAAGCCAGCCCTTTCTTCCCTGGTGGCCGACCAGCCTTCTTCTGTCCTCCCCTGGGGCACCCCTACCTCTTGGCCTGCACCTCCAGTCATTGTGAGAAGTCCCCAGTCAAAAGCCCCTGAATCCTTGGCCTGGACTTCAGAGTCTATGGGCTCTGCACTGCCTCTAGAAGCTTTGTCTGTGAAACTTCATGGCGCCCAGGTCCCTGACGAAGAAATAGGCACCCAGAACTGGGAGGGAGTGGGAAGGAGAAGGAGAGGGAGAGAGAGAGAAGGAAGGAGGAGGGAGGAGGAGGGGGAAGGAAGAGGAAGGAGGAGGGGGAAGTACAGGAGAAAGGGAGATAAGGAGAATGAAAGAGTAGAACACAGATTCTCGGGTATAACAAATGAGTCCCCTCTTTGAGTTGGAGAAGAGAGAATGAGACAAACGCACAAAGAGCACGAATACGTCCAACCACGTGCTCCCCTTCAGGGCTCGAGGCTCCTGAGGTGGAGAGGGGAGGCTAGGAGAGGGGCGGAAGAGCGGGGTGGGGCGTGGAGGAGCGGGGTGCGAGGGCACAGGGCAGTTTGCCCCCCACCCCGCGCCCGGTGTGCCGGTGTGCGTGTGTGTCCCCGACCTCGGGGCGACGCGGGGCTGGCAATCTCGGGAGCCGTGTAGCTGGCGGGGCTTCCGGGGCGCAGCTGGCTCTGTTTGTCCAGGTGTGGGAGGGGGCGGCGGTCCGGGCCTCCTAGGCCCGCCCAGCTTTTCCGCGCCGTGGAAGCCGGGCCTCAGCTCCTGCGCTTCCCGCTTCCAGGAGAAACCCCCTCCCCCGGCCCTCCCCACATACATAAATACATTAGGGAGCAGACAGATCCTCATTGTTCAGAACGGAGCCGAGCGGGCCGGGCTGGGCTGGGAGGGAGAGGGAGGCCGGGCTGCGGATCCGGTGTCACGTTGCAGATCGCCACTAAAGATAACGAAACGTGATCTATTTTTCAGAACAGCAAGTGGATGGGAAAGAACCTTGACAACACAAAACTCATTTACTAATGGGCTGGTTTTGGGTTTCTCTTCTCTGGATCTGCAAATCGCCCTGCCTGAGCCCGGGCTTACTCAGCCTGGCGAGGGGGGGGGGGCCGCACAGGCAGGTGGGATGCACCCCAGCCGGCGGGCGGGATCCGAGGCACCCGGAGTTTCCTGCTAAGCCGAGGGACGAGGTGCATGTAGCTACTTCACCTCGGACTTGGGGAGCCTCCGTACTGCCCCATAGGGATGACACTAATTTATTGGAGAAACACCTCACGATTCCCTTCCCTTCCAGGTATCTGTAGGGAGAGCAGAAGGCGAAAGCGGTCCAAGAAAGTGGGATCTTTCTCAAGCCAAAACTAAGGGGCGCAGCGAGGGTGGTTTAAAACCCCAGCAGTGCCTAATGTTTTCTCCAGGGCCGATGGGCCCGCTGTTGGACCCGCCAAGTCCACTCAGCCGGGACCTGCACGACAGAGGCGCCGGGAGCTGAAAGCCGACGTGGGGCGCCCTGTCCACCGCGCTGTCCTCGGGAGCCTCAATGCGCTAGGGCAGCGGCCGTCTGCCTAGGCTGCTGGGTCCCTTTAAATCTCCGACGCATCTCTATTCTCTGTTTTTCATGCGATTTGCATTGACAGTAAAGGTTTTATGTTACAGAACAACTCAAACCTTTCTGTGTGCGATTTAAAATGGACCATTTGGTTTATGTGGTTTGTAAATTCATGTCATTTTACCTCTTTTAGTGGTTTTCAGCGAAAGGTTCCATTTTGGGAAACCTTATATATCCGAGCCAATAATTAACATTTATAACAATTGGTTCCCTTAACCGAGGGATCGAAATAGCAGGTAGGTTCTTAGTACAAAGTGCACAGCACTTATTCTTTTCTTGGATTAAACAAGAGGAAAAAGGGAAAAGGCTGATGAGTCGGGGACCGGCCTGCCTCCAACGACAGTGCCGGCAACCACAGCATCCAGCACGGTTGTCTTCCCAGTTATCTCCAACCTGTAGTGCGTCCTGGTTGTTTTTTTTTTTTTTTTTTTTTTTTTTTGGAAAGAGATGAACAGAGGGGTGCAGAGAGGTCTGGAGGAAGCTGGAAAAAAGGTGGTCTGATTGGTGTCTAATTGCCGCCTCTCTGCTCTCTGTCATCCTCTGTAAATCTATCCTTGCCCCTATTTGTTCAAGCTATGCTTCATTTCCTTATACAAAACTGTTCATTACAAAGTACACCCCATACTTAACATACCGTGTGTCTCTTAAGAGATATGGCTGTGCTTACAGACCTTCTCTGCCCATTTTAATTGTGCACACTCCCTCCAAACTTTAGGGTACTGATTTGCAGAGCCAGGGTTAAGCCCCCATTCTGGTCCTCACACAGCTGCCATGTCAATAAGGGCTGTTCCAAGCGGTGACATTCCTCTTGGCAGGACACTGCAGCTCCTTAGACTTCGTCTGAAACGTCATGAGCACTAAAATAAGATGGTGAGGGAAAATTACCAGACACATGGCCTTGGGCTCAGCAGTGCCAGCTTCTAGTTTAGAAAATAAGTCACTGGGCACACCATGTGGCAGGGGCTCTTTTGAAATCATACACACCTATTAAATACATTTTAAAAATAAGCCTAAATGAAATGAAATAGACACATCTTTTCCCAAGGTCTAATCGCATGGGACGCAGAGAGTCTCAGGGATGCGGAAAACATTGTGTGGGAGCTCCGTGGAAAAGCAGCTGCTTCTCTCCTTGGAATCTCCCCGAGGTGGGAAGCCTTTATGAGTTTAAAGTGTATCTTGCAGGGTGCACTGGACTGGGCACAGCACTTTAAAACCATATAAATAATACAAGGGGAAACCTGCATACGTTTCTTTTCCCACTTACAGCTCACTATGCAGAAAGATCTGTGGTGCTGGGCTTTTTGCCTGATGGAATCAAAACATATTTAAAGAAGACAAAGCAAGTTTAAAGAGCCCAGAGTTTGTTCTTCACCATTTACTAAGAGGGTGCATTGAAATCAAAAGCATTTTTGAAGTGTACTTACAATTCTGTTTTGAACTTATCTAATCAGAGATAAGTATAGTCATAAAGTCACACTTCTTCCACCATTTGGCTTTCCTTATCTCCACACATTGTTCTTATCTCCTGCCAGCCTGAGCTACTGACAATAGATTATCTTTGTTTAGAGAAGCTAATTGTTTTCAAAATCTTTTTAATAATTGCTTTGGAGCAAGGTGTGCAAATGAGGCTTAAGATAATTACAGCTTCATCTGTTTGTGCAGTTTTACTAAGCATTCTCCACACATAAACAAAACAGCAGATGATGGGACTTAAATTGCAGGACATCTCTCATTCTCTGGCAGGAAAACGGGCCAGCATTGCAAACACACACTCACACGCTCACACCGCCTCTTCTTCTTGGAGCCCTTGTCCTCCTAGCTTTCAGGGCAGTGTCGCTCTCAGAGCAGTGCAAGGATTATGTTACAACCCGACGGTTATTGGAGCCCGGCACAGTTTTATTTAATTTACACCCCGTCCAGCGCCTTTCGTACGAGGTTCCCACAGCATTTTAGCTAATGGCAAATAAAGCTCCTCAGCATTCCTCAGTAGCAGGGGCGGCCCTGGAAAATGGAACTGTGCAGATGAGGAAGCCGAGTCCAGGAGACCGCCGACGTAAGCGACCTTCTGGGTCGCTCTCTGCTCAGCAGCTCCGAACAGCCTTGTGCCTCATCCCAACTCGGGGCGGCTCTTTGAGAACTAGGGAATGCTGTCCAGCTCGAGTACGTGTGTCCTTTGGAGGGTGCCGGGGCTTGGGAAAGGGAAGGAGCAGGAAATTAGGTTTGGCTCTTAAGCTGAAGCCAACTACGAGAGAAGCAACTCTTCCAGTGTTTGCAACCCGCAGTCCAGGTCTGCTCTTGTATTATTTATCGCATTCCATAAGCTATTCATCAATTCATTATTTATTCATTGCAGCATTAAGGTAATTAAATATGAGCTCACCGGGAAAGGCAAGTCTGAAAGGGACAGGGACAGCAGTACGAGGGGAATTAGAACTTTTGGAGTCTTTGATTTGTGCAAAGATGCACGCGGCTCCCCTTAGGTGACACTGGAGAGAGGACTCGCCTAGTAGGGTCCTGACTCTCGCCTGTCTTCCCCCGCCCCCACGCATTGAGGTACCCTACCCTACCTCCCGTCCCTTTCCTCCCACCACTGCCAGCCCCCAGCACTGCAGCCTCTCCCTCCCTGCGCGGGGCGGCGCGGCCTCTCTGCTCCACCGGGCGGCGCGCGGGCTGGCCAGCCTCGGATAGGCGCCGCCCGCAGCCAATCAGCGCGCCGGGGGCGCTGCGCGCTTTAAGGCCGCTGCGGGGAGAACAGAAACCAAGTTCCTCGGCAACGAGCTGCATCCACCCCGCGGCAGGCCGGAGCCAGCGAGGCCCGAAGACTGCGGAGAGTGTCGGCGCTCGGTGCCCAGCGCGCCCCCACTCCTCCTCCTTCAGGAGGACGTCTGCCTTGGCCACCGCCACCAAGTTCCGACTCGCTTTTCGGCTTGCGCAGAGCCTAGGGAGGGGGTGAGGAGCAGCCGCGCCCCCCTCCCCGCGGCCGCCGCCCCCAGGTTTTCGGCCCCGCTCCCCTACGCGTGCGCCCGGGCGTTGCTCCCCGGCAGGCTCCAGCCATGTCGATGCTGCCGTCGTTCGGTTTCACGCAGGAGCAAGTGGCGTGCGTGTGCGAGGTCCTGCAACAGGGCGGGAACCTGGAGCGCCTGGGCAGGTTCCTGTGGTCGCTGCCCGCCTGCGACCACCTGCACAAGAACGAGAGCGTGCTCAAGGCCAAGGCGGTGGTCGCCTTCCACCGCGGCAACTTCCGCGAGCTCTACAAGATCCTGGAGAGCCACCAGTTCTCGCCTCACAACCATCCCAAGCTGCAGCAACTGTGGCTGAAAGCGCACTACGTGGAGGCCGAGAAGCTTCGCGGGCGGCCGCTGGGGGCCGTGGGCAAATATCGGGTGCGCCGAAAATTCCCGCTGCCGCGCACCATTTGGGACGGCGAGGAGACCAGCTACTGCTTCAAGGAGAAGTCGCGGGGCGTGCTGCGGGAGTGGTACGCGCACAACCCCTACCCCTCGCCGCGGGAGAAGCGGGAGCTGGCCGAGGCCACCGGCCTCACCACGACCCAGGTCAGCAACTGGTTTAAGAACCGGAGGCAAAGAGACCGGGCCGCCGAGGCCAAGGAAAGGTACGCGGCGCGCTCCCCCGGGCTCGGGCGACCCCGGGAAGTCCTCCTCGCCCCTCCACCCCTGGCGCCCCCGCAGGCGGCCGCCTCCGGGCTGTGCGCCGCGGCCGGA